GCAACAAAAGCGCCCATTTCCCACTTGGAAAGACCCTAAATTTCATAGGTTCACTGCCTCTTTTAATACGCTATTTTTGTGATGTTTCCAAAGGACATTTTTAGACTGTATAGATATGCTTGAGTTGTGTGCTTGTTGTTGTTCGTGCTTTTGGATGCCTATGGAATATATTTTCCTTCATCTGAATCTGGACTTCTCCCTCTAGTTAACGTGAATAGGACGCACTGGAATATTTTGCCTATCTTGTTGTTTTATCGCTGATCCTTCATTCTGTTAGCCGATTTTTAGGTGATCTCATAATCTCTTCAAATATATCAATAAGATTAGTCTTTACAACTGTAGGGCTGATGTGATTATGATTATTAAAACTATTTGTTAATTGCTTGTTTATATTTTCTTAAAGGAGCCAAATATATGAATATACTGTGTGTTTTGTAAATAGAATAATCAACAGTATCTGAGTTGTTAATGATTTTCTTTATTCTATATTTCTTTTTTTCATGGTTGATTAGACTCTAAGCAAAGAAATCAGACATTCTCCTTCCTGTTATCTCATCATTTACAAATTATACAACTATATTATTTCCTATACAAATGAATATAATGGATATTCACACTTCGTAGCATATATAAACATATATTCAAACAAATTATACATTAAACATGAATATTATTAAAAGGGGTTTGTGGAAATTAAGCGCTTGGCGCGAGACTGATAGGTTTTGGGTTCGAATCTCGCAGGGTGCGGGACGAAACGACCGTCCAGTGCTTCCAAGTTGTCCATGATGGTCTAGCTTCAATTGACTCATAATTTTAATCTGTGAAATATGAATAGTAATGAATGAATTTCAAATAATTTTTCAGGTTTACTTAACTATACTTTTGATAATTATTAAATTAAACAATACAATGGAGAATAAGAAACAGTTAGGTGATAAGAGGTAGTCGGTTAGAAATCATACGCTTGAGTGACATTGTTACTAAAATAAGTTAGAAATGTGTAAATACAGTTTTGAGGCAAGGAATGGTGTTTTTTTTACTTCACACTGTCGTTGAAAAACTTCACTGTCTGATACATTACCATTCAACAATCCGATACATGATAGACAGTAACGCAGACTGTGATATTTACACTGACTGTCTAAGTAGCAATAGACAATATCATGTTTTTTTAATCCATGTTGATCAAATTCTATTAACAGTGTGTAGTGTGGCGTCGAGTCGCGGTTGACTATGACCACCACTACAGGAAGACTACGTGCCAGTTAAGCGATAAGATACCCCGTAAGCCAAATATCAGAAAGCAATTGATGGCTGTAGTTGAGATGTACTTGTTGGCGATCTCGTGGTATCGAAAAAATACCGAGATTGTGCCAAAAGAGTACAAGCGGAATCACTGAGCAAACGTAAGTGCGTGCAAAGTCACAATCAACGGAAGGAAGAATGGAAGAATAATGGATGTCTTTAGTACAGTTAAACAAACAAGTACAGTAAAACAATCACTGGTACAATTGGTTATAATAATAATAGTTTCCATTAAACCAATCACGTTCGCTTGATAAAAGTAGGTCACTACAAGTGTAACTGATTTACACGGTTTTAAATCTCACATAGAATATCAGTTTTCTTAGAGTTCCAGATGGCAAGTAAGATTAATTATTGGTCATGTAGGGTTTCTTGTTGACTAACTCAAATCCGCCTAATCAGTGTACTTGATGTCATGTCATTTAGACTAATAACTGAATTTCACTTCAATCGATAAAGTTTAATCCAAACTAACGAATCAGATAATCATGGTATTAATTATTACTTAGTGTCCAGCTAATGTACATATGTAATCAGAAAGTCAAAAATTGTAGAATAACGTTTTGTAATTAAATGACTATGTCTTGTGACTGAGGTTCGGTACGACCTTACTGTAATTACGGAACAGTTAACCTTATTCTAATACGAACGGATTTTTATGGCAGATTCGATAAAAAAGGCGATTGCCGCACAGTACTTCTATAATAATTCTCTATCACGAAGAAACACAGGAAGAAGATGAAAATACGAAAAACCTGACAATCAAGTAGACGTATTACAAGGGAATAAATCTGTATAAAACAGTAACAAAACATGATCCCGAAGAACACAAAGAATTACGGAACCTTAAGTACTAACAATCAATCAGAAAAGAGTAAAGGTAATAAGAAAATTAACGTTAAGAAATAAAAAGTATCCACGGTTATGGTTACTTGTAAGAACTCAACATTTGTAATCACGTAGTCTCTTTAACAAACCATATACTCTGAATAAATCCTATAGATTTTGAACTCAATCACATATGAGACTGGGAAAAAAAAGGTTCTATGTTAAAGAATATGGTACTGAGAAACGAACAATAAATGAATATAACGGAAGGGATTTTTTGTGGATATTATATTACTTTCAATAGTTGAAATCATGATTCAGTTGAAGCTAGACCACCATAGAAAACCTGGAAGCATTGGATAGCCGTTTCGTCCTGAGTTCGAATCTCGCGAGGCAAGGTAGTGAATGTGCACTGCTGAGGAGTCCCACATTGGGAGGAAACAGTCATCCAGTGGTTCTAGGTTTTCAATGGTGTTCTAGTTTCAACTGATTCATAAACTCAATTGATGGTAATGAATACCTTATAAACATTGAATCAAAACTTGATCTTAATTATTCAGTACATACTCATGTATCTTTCAATTCTGTTACTTAATCAACTTAATTGTAATTAATAAACATGATTGGGTTGTAATTACTAATAAACTCATTCAATTCAACTACTATTTTCTTTTGGTAACTTTTATTCATTAATTTAATTAATTAATTAATCTTTTCTGCTTGATTGGTTATTTTACTATTTACAATGTACAATCTATAGATTTAGTAATCATATACACAAATAAGTTAATCAGTAGTACTTTGACAAGTAGTATATATATATATATATATATATATATATATATATATATATATATATATATACATAAACTAGAATACACTAACTCCTGTGAATTTAAACCGACATTAGTTTCCATTTAGAATTATGTATGTATATATGCTTGATTAATGAACCATTAAATAGAATGATATATTCTTTTAAAAGAGATTTCAATATATCATCCTCATTGATGATATTTTTAGCTTTGAGTGTAAAATACATTTTTTTTCTTTATTTATACTAATTGCTTTCTATTCTCAATCTTCCTTTCTTGATCTTCCCCATCTTCTGCTGCCAGACATTTCATTACTGACTTGCGTCATATACTACTTATATCAATATAAGTAGCACGCATCACAGTAGAATAACATATTTTAAAAAATAGAAATCATTTTTAGACTATGATAAGAATAAATTGTTATGTATTCTTAAAGTGGAATTCATGTATCAATCTAAGTTAGACTCTCATTGAATATCTGGAAGCAATGGACAGTGGTTATGTCCTAACACAGGACTCCTTAACGGTACACATCCATAATCCTTCAGTAAAAGGGACTCGAACTTTGGGTCTTCGATTTCGTAAATACTAATCATTTGCTCATTACTGAATAGATTGAAGATAGATTTTTTGAACTTCTAGTAGAAGATATGACCTGTGAAGTCTAATCCGTGTCAGGTATGAAATAATTATCCACTTCAGACGACGGATGAAAGTCGCTCATAATCATGGATCGATTAAAATTAAACATGAAAATTTTCGAATGCAAATTAACTCAGTGATCTAGAAGTTAAGCGTTCGTGCACGATACCGAGGGTCCTGGATTCGAATCCCATGTTTGGGATCGTGGAGGTGCACTGCTGTAGGAATCCCATACTGATTCCGAGAAGCACCAAGTTGTATTGCCTCATTTTTGTATCAATTTGACTGGTCCTTGCTGTCTCACGCATTGTCCAAACATTCCGTGTACCTATGTTAATTGTTACTCTGGTTGTTGGAGGTAGCATCGGTCAAGTGACTTCCAAAGAACCTCCGCCTTCATCATGGGGCGTCATAATTCTTCCTTTCCAAGATTACAAGTACTCCTTGCTGACGAATCACAGTGAAAAACCTTACCTTCGTGGTGTGTCCTACAAACTGCATCCGTCCAAAGTAAGAATAGGTGTAACTCAAGAATATGAGCTCCACTAGATGTATACCGACTTTCGAGTCAAATGTCTCAATACATTTAATGAATATTTTCATACTTATCTCAGTCTTCATTGAAAATAATGCAATATCATCTTCTTAAATGTATTTTTACACTAAACGAAATGTCTCTATAGTATTTTCAATCACTTTTAACGGTTTATCGATCTATAATGGTAAAAGACACTAAAGTTTCAATCATTCCGTTATGTGAAACTTTCATATCATTGTGAAGTCACTGAATCAATTTCACATTACAAATAATAAACGATCACTTTTGAAAATGATCTTTTCCAAAATTACTTTTACTTACGCCTGTTATTCCCAACGGAGCATAGGCCACCTACCAGCATTCTCCAACACACTCTGTCCAGAGCCTTACTTTCTAGTTATATCCAACTGTGGTCCATTCTTCCCACGTCTGTCTCTATTTCTCGGCGTAGTGTGTTCTTTTTTCTTCTTTTTTTCCTTTGGCCTTGAGGATTCCAAATGAGGACTTGCCTTGTGACGCAGTTAGGTACTTTCCCCAATGTGTGTCCTATCCACTTCCAGCGCTTCTTCCTGATTTCTTCCTCCGCTGGGCTTTGATTTGTTTTCTCCCACAGTTTTAGTACTTTGAATCATTTTTTCTGGTTAGCGTTTTATAGCGAGTTAGTTTTCTATGGGATGAGGTCACTAACCCAATGCCCAATCCTCTTCCTTTATCCGACCCTGGGACCGGCAGTAGCCCCAGAGGGCATCTAGGCAGAGTTCACAAAATTATACATGGTAAAATGTTTACCGTTCCAAGAGCATAACAATAATTATGTTTTCTGTTTTTTTTTTCTTACATTTCAGGAATTAAAGTGTTACAGCGATTGCACAAAACAGGAAACCAAAACTCAATAAACAATGTCACTTTTATTTCAAACGACTATATTTATTGGCTATTTGGTTTCATTATCAACTCAAACTAATATTGGTAAGTCTACTAATGAGAATATTTATGCACAAAAAATATGTACAATGATATCGATTGATTTCAGGGTAGGTTCTTTTAATTTAAGAAATTTTCTTTTGCCGAATTCATTCTTTCATCTTCTTTCTTTGTTTATATCATAAACTGATTTTAGTTAGGTAATCACTGAAAATCAGGAAGTTGTATTCTATTCTATTCTCATGATTAATTGTTGTATCCGTGTTGCTTATTATTTATACTTGAGAGAACGATGAACCAAACTGTGATTCTCACGAGGCAAAGTAAGAACATTAAGACTGGTGCAAGTGACGATTCATTAAACCCAAAACATAACGATGACTCTAGTCGAAAATACACTCAGTGTATACTGATTGTTCATCCATGTTGACTGATAATTAGAATAAAATCATATATATAATACCCAGAGATATAACAAAATCACATGTTGTCTATCATGCTGAGCATAGTTCACGTTAATTTTATGCAATGTCCTGAGACTACTTACTTATTTACTTACGCCTGTTATTCCTTGTGGAGGAGCATTGGCTGCTCAGCAGCATTCTCCACTCAATCCTGTCCTGAGCAATCCTTTCTAGTTGTTTCGAGTTGCTATTCATCCTTTTCATGTCTGCTTCCAATTACCGAAGAAGTGTGTTCTTTGGCCTTCCTCTTTTCCGTTTCCCTTCAGGATTACAAGTTAGGGCTTGCTGCGTGATACAGTTTGGTGATTCCCGTAATGTAAATCCCACACGCTTCCAGCGTCTTTACCTAATTTCCTCTTTAGCTGGAATTTGGTTTGTTCTCTCCTAGAGTAGGCTGTCGCTCATGGTATCCGGTCAACGGACATTGAGTATCTTGTGTAGATAACTATTCATAAATACTTGCACCATTTTGATGATGGTTGTAATAGTTCTCGAAGTTTCATCTCCGTACAGTAGAACTGCCTTGACGTTTGTATTGAAGATTGTGACTTTGATGTTGGTTGACAGTTGTTTTGACTTGCATATATTCTTCAATTGTAAGAATGCGGCTCCTGAGATAACAGCACACTCACATAAATTGATGTTTTATCGAATAAACTATCACACTGGAAAAAGACAGATAATACACTGGACAATCACCATATTGAATTAAAAAACGGAAGTAATGCTGAGCACGAATCACAATAAGTTAAAAATGCAATTTCGTCTTCTCATCCTGTTATATCAGTTTCATTCTAGTATGAGGATCATCATTAGTGCTTGTTCACGACTTCACCACTAATCAAATCAATTACCTTCAAGTTTCTAAAGAGGATTCTTTATCTTCAGACTACTGATCCAAGACCCACTAGTTTACATCCTTGACTTCAATCGATTAATAATGACGCGTAACCATTTGTCAATGCTATTAGGGTAACTATATTACACCCAACATTGTTAAGCTCCACTAGTTATGATTTCTCATTAGAATCCATTATTCTTTCTTGTGTGGAACTATTATCACCGAAATGTCATAATATATTATTTGTCCGGTCGAAGTTATTAAATTGCAATTATGTTCGGATTCGTAGTGTCTGTTCAACAGTGCGTTCACGACGTACCCTAAATAAACAATCAAAATTTGTACATAACTAGATCACATGTAGTACAAAATTGAGTAATCGGTAAGTAAAATGAAAACTTAAATTCAGAGCAGTATAAAAATACTGTAAAGCAAATATCAGTCAGACTATAACATATGGATGACCTTTGGGCGACGCTGGAATGACCTTGACAGTGTCCACTTAATAACCAGGATCAAATGATAGTTATAAACCTGTGTGAGGAATACGAACTGATATCAGCTATAATGCCCGAACTCAATTTATCTAAATGGATGAGCGAATTTCGCACCAAAATTCAAGACCTATTATTTTATACGTGATTGGTTCGTCCATAAATTATAATCTCGCCCAAATATCTAATTGAAGCACAATGAAATTAGATGTCTGTATATAACAAATTGCCGTAAAATTGTTTTAAATGTTCCATCCATCTCAATTATGTAACTATATACAGAAATAATTTATGCGCAAAGAATGTTTATCTTAGAAATTTGTCGGACCTAAAAAAATAAATATTCAGTTAAATAATTTAAAACTCCGCCTGGAGTTCCCTCGGAGGCTACTGTCGGTCCCAAGCCCGGATAAAGGAAGAGGGTTGGGTATGGGGTTAGCGACCCCATCCCGTAGAAAACTAACTCGCTAAAAAAACGCTAGCCAGAAAAAAATTATTCAAACCTTTAAGTAAATACTTTAAAGTTTTCGGCATATTTGAATAATTAATCTAAATTTAAAATAATTACTATCAGACAGGGGTTTTGTAAACATTGTAGTAATTTTACTAGCTGAACTCATCAGCCAATTGAAGCTAGATCACCACGGAAAACTCGAAAGCACTGGACGGTCGTTTCATTCTAGCATGGGACTTCTAAACAGTGCGTATAACGACTCCGTTTGTTGGACCTAAACCCAGAGCCTCCGGTCTCGCTTGTGAACGATTAACCTCTAGACCACTAAACCGGTATCCATTGTTGTTAATGTCTAACTGCTGAAGAGTCCCATATTAGGACGAAACGGCCTTTTAGTGCTTTTAGGTTTTCCATGGTGGTCTAACTTCAATTGACTCATGAATTCAACTGTTAAAATTAATATAATTCATTGTTTAAATATATAGGAAATCCAATAAATAAATCTTTTATTTTGACCGGTAAATAAGAGAGAATAAGACTAACACTGATGATAATAAGTAAATGAATAGAGAAGTTCAGTTGGTTAGTGACAATGATATCAAGTGGATTAATAATTAAATGACCATGTAATTATATGAGTGAGCATAAAATTAATTATTTAACTAATCATGTCACGCTGTAGGTAAGTTAACAATGGGAAAAAAGAACATTATTAGCATGAGAAGAGAGTTGTTTGCACTATTGAATGTTATGGTTTATATAATAGACTTAACGTAGTTAGAAAACCATTAAAAACTAAATAGTACTAGATAACATAAAATGGTGCAAAACAGCACAATAACATAAATTAACCAATTCTGGCATCCAGAACTTTCAAGTCTTCTGTACAGTACTACATCAGGACGAAACAGCCATCCAATATCTTCTTGTTTTCAATGAGTTTTTAGTTAAATCTTTTTCGTGATGTATGATTTCACATTTATAAATCTTCACAATCTTTGATTATAACAATATTGTTTTCAGTTATATCTCCATCAGAACCGAATAAGTCTTGACAGTAAGGTTAAAAATTGATTAGTTATAGTATGCATAACAATAGCTTGAATAAATAATTCAGCATTATAATCCTTGTCAAAACCTTGGAAAATAAACTTAAAAATGATCACCAAAAATGTTGTGTAATAAGCAGTGTGTGAATGATTAGTTAAATATTACATAAGTAGTAAAGAATAGGATATGCAAAAAAGGAGTAAAGAGGAACAAATAAGCAAAAGGGTAAAAGTAATCTTCAGACTAAGTAAGAAATAGATGGATTACAAACTTCCTCGATATCTAAGGATTACGCTTGTAGGCTTGAATGACCACAGTCTACTCTATACATAACGAAAGGTATGTACTTTTTGTATTATGGACTCATGAATTGCCTTAACTGATTTAATATTCTTCACATATACACTTACATATTACTGAATATTCGAATGAAGCCTTATAAAAATCCAACTGAAAACAGTTTTGTCATTGCGAAAAGTTTTAAACGATGAACTAACTTTAAATAAATAACGAATAAAACCGAGAACTTACTTCATCGCTATTTTTTCTCGTTGTAAGGCTCCTCAGGATGACTGAAACTTATAGATTGAATCATATTATTGATTTATATCTACCGTTCTAACTAACGAACTAATGTGAATAGAAAACTCAGTACATAACTATTTCATATGAAATGCTATGAAAAAAACTTTTAAAAAGAAGTCTCTATCGTTTGCTTGTTCTTTTTTTCATTTTTCAGGGCATTCATGGAACAATCATCACTGGGACCTAGAAAAGGAATCACAACAACAACAACAATATCAAGATGACATTGATCATATTGATGAGCATAATGATGATAATGCTAATGACGATGATAATCAATATTTGTATTTATTTAATTTGAATAGACAACCATCCTATTCAACTAACTTCAGGCGTAAAGTATTTTCAGATCCAAAAATCAATTTACCTATTGATATTGATGAAGATGTTGATAAACTACAAGAATCGGCTTCTTCTTCTTCTCCTTCGCCTCCTACAGATGGAAACATTGAATATTTAAATCCAATTTGGCCAAATCTAATTTATTATAGAAATCCTTTAAAAAACGTGATTGGTTGAATGAAAATACCCAACTAACGGATAATAGTCTGATTGTAAAAAAATGCCAGAAACTATAAAATGGTCTACACCAATTCAACCGGGCAATTCAAAAGATTTACGTAAATTACGTAATCTAGATACATTTAATACGGAACAATATAAACATCGAGATGAAGCAAGATCAGATGGTAAGTGTATAATAATCTAGTTCATTGTCTTGTTTGTTTACATTTTTATTCATTCAAGAGAAAAAGTTAGCAGTAATAGAAATGGTGGCATTTCAAGCAGATGATCCCACGAAGTGAGATCGTGGATGCGCACTCCTACGGAGTAGTCCCACAATAGGATGAAACGGCCGTTCAGTGCTTCCAGGTTTTTCATGGTGGTCTAGTTTCAATTGACTCATGATCTTAACTACTGAAATTACTACAATTTCCAAAAAACCCTTCTGATACTAATTTATTTGTTTAACTAAAAATCAGATTATAAATCGATCAATAAATGAATAAAGTGTTTTACTTGAAAAACTGTCATTTCTCTCTCTCTTCCATCAATATCATATTGTAGGGCAATGACGGTTATTAAAGTTCAGAAGTGGCAAGTATTCGACAGCAGGAAACGCATCATGTTCTATCTAGGACTCATCAGCTGGATGTATCTGTATTTCAGGTTGATGTTCATACTGTGACTCAAGCCTGCTCTGATTCGATCTAAACACCAGCTACTGAGCTTGGAAAGCCACCAACTTGTTTAAGGAGTATGAATTTCATTTTTAAGAGTTTATACCTTTTTATTGTTAATTTTAATGAATGGATTTAATCAGTCTCTATAAGTGTAATTGATACCTGAATGAATCTTTACTTGTAATTAGATTTTAAACATTGAAGCATTCCATTCAAGCTACTTATATATCAGTAGAGATTGGTCATTTGTGCTCTCTAACATCAACAGTGAGAACTCCGAGAATTCCCTCTCGAAGTTAGTCACTAGTAAGTAAATGACAGTTTCCAATTTAGGATTGTGGAGATTGTTGAATTTCATTGAAATCGTAAACTGATCATGAACCGTGACCAATGGAGTTGAACTCTGTTGGGTGTGATACAGTTACCCATCGAAGACAATGGAAGATGATCAGCAATATCGTGGATTGGTTGAAGTTAGGGATTAACATTGTCGGATCCCAGTTGGCTCAATGATCTAGATGCTAGGCGTTAGGGAGAGACCGGAGATCCTGGGTTCAAATCCCACGTGCGGGATTGTGGATGCACACTGCTGACGGCTGTTCAGTGCTTCCAGACTTTTAATAGTGGCCTAACAACGGTCGGTTCATGAAATCAATGTAAGTATAAGGAACCTCGAACATATAGTGTTAAGTTAAAATCCTCGTATATCTAAGGATTCAGCAAACCCTATTTGTATGAGAGGTCATTCACGACCCAAACAACTCAACGTTATCATCTAATCACCGAACAATCAACAAACTTTGTATTCGCCTTACAATTTTTACATACAGTACTACATAAGTCAACTTGAAATCAACTTTGTATGCACATGCATCCTTCCAACTATTTCATTCTAGTTTAAAAATCATCTTTGATTAAGTTCATCAACTAACCGTTTCAACTCTAAAAACCGTTAGGTATGTCCTGGCTATTACGGTGTTGAATCTTCTGTTTATCATTCATTTTATTATTGTAATCAAGTCATACAAAGTCTAAACATTATAGTTTGCATCAAAAACTGACCATAGTTACTCAACAATTGCAAACCAGGAAGCAACGGATAATTGCTTCATCACAGTAAATGTTCCTGATCAGTGCATATCCACGACACCACTTCCAGAAATACAGGCTGTGAAATTCAGGTGTCAGAATTAACACTGAATCTTCATCTAACTTTAACCTGCTTGCGGTATTTCCTGATCATCTTCCAATCCCATTAGTGAGTAACTGCTTCACACTCGAAATCTGGATGTACCTGCATACTAGAACTGCTGTTTACTCCATGTTCACTCCAAATCTCAAATCCTGTACCGTTCGCTTCAAACTCCATCACGTTATCCACTTAACTAATGAGTCTCGACAGCCACTTGCTTATGCAATGAGGTGAATTTAAAATTCATTTTGGTATTGTTTGTTTGAATATTCCCATTGATGTTCACGATTCAGTAGCTAAGTGGATAACATGATGACATTTGGAGCAAACGGTACCGGGTTCGATTCCCGAAGTGAACATCAACTCTAGAATGCAGGTACATCCGTCTGATGAATCCAAAATAGGACGAAACACGCATTCTGGATTCCATTGTTAACCTCCATACTTGTGGATTAAGGCAATATCAAGGCAGTCCGTACAGGATGCATATATGTTAATAAGAGACTAATCAAATGCACTCCTAAGCATCAATAGAAAGATTCAAACAAACAATACCAAATGAATGAATGTCTTATGCTCTATCCATGTTGGGCTTGTTGATGTATGTTGATGAGGCATCTTATGCTAGTATATAACAGTTCTCTAGTACTTCTTAAAGTTGATTGCTTGTCTAAAAAAGGGAATTAGTTTATGGTGTAAAGTGTGAGAAATCAAAATAGTCAGAATTCTCATACATTCGTTTTATACCATTAACTTTACTTAAAAAAAAAGGAATGATGCGATCATCAACATGGCAGTATAGCGACTCATGTACAATTGAGTTTATTCTCATTTAACTCAGTTAAGCCCTTTTGTTAACTTATTTAACGGACAAAGTCATCCATACTATAACAATTCATTGCACCTTTATTATTATTGTACTTGTATGACATAAGTATGCTTGAACATTGTTTACCGCCTACGCATATATTCATTCCTCTAGCTTTATTATTAGTTGCTTAGTCGATTCTATGATTCGTCCATTTCCCTATATATATATGTACACTTACATTATATACAATGTTACTGCTACTACTACACTCGCAGTTCGCTGACCTCTACTTTGTGGTCTGAATTATCTGCTAATAAAACTGTAGTAGCTGCTTCCTTTTACCTTCTGATTTAAAACACCGTGGAAGATTATATAACAACAGTACGAGGGTGATTAGTAATCGAAGCACAGCCACTACAACAGAATATTATCTTCCAAATTATATAACAAGTTGATTTTCGTTTATTGACTTAACTAGTGTAGGGAAAAAAATGTATAATTTTTATCCCATCGAAATATCATTAGTAAAACAGATAATGATAATCTTTATTTGTATGATATTGGCAATAAAAAGTTCGAAAACAAAAAATCGACAACTCCTAACTCACTATTCGCCATGGTTACTACCAACTAAATTATCGTTGCTTCATTTGATAAAGCCGGGTGTTATTAAATTATTCTAATGAATATATGTACAAAGTGTAGAGTAGTTATTATAGTGTTAAAATTACTTAGCCTACACAGAATTGTACTATTTTTATCTAAGTTTCAATTAGAACATGAAAAAAACGACAACCTACTTATCCCTATGTTTGTATTAACTGAAAAATTCATAGGATTATGTACAGAAATTTACAGGATCACAATACATTATTAATAATATTCATTATAATTAACAACTACTTAATTCAATAAGTAGTATGTATGATTAATTGAATGATTTCTTAGCATCAAATAATTAGTATTGTATAAATTTTTTTTATTTACATCTACATATACGCATTGATTTCTGAACTGTGATTGACTGGTACGGTGTTCTAGACAGAGAATAGCTGATGATACCTATTGTGGAGATCTAGAGGTCCTTCTGGAACGGATTCCAAGGCTTACTAACCCACCATGTAAATGTACTTTAGTGGGGACCGCGGCCTCACGAGTCTTTGCATGCATAATGGTATTGCACGAAAAGAACAAGTAATGAGATTTACGATTTACTTGTCCTAGATGTATATAATCTACTTGCATACTAGATAACACACAAACTTTCATCCGAATATCACTTGGCATACATAAAGCTATGCATACGTTGTGAGCAAATATACGCTGCATGCACACTGGCAACACAGGTTCTACCCCATGCATCCCATAGCATAAACATAGGTATATTCGCCCATCTAGGAGGGTGTATGTTTACCGCTCCCAATGAAAACGTACTTACTACATCAGACTGACTCTTACACATTATATGCATATCATTCACACCATGGCTATCACCGCAGTATTTCATGGCACACATAAGCATAAGCACTCTCTTAGAGGAGGTTATTGGTCACCTCGCCCTGGTGTTTGCTACCACCTCTTTTTATTAAGTCCTCGACTCGATAGACAGATCGCTGATTTTATGAGACATAGGGCAGACATCTTTGCAGCTCAGCGCTTCCTTTGTACGACACCATTTGAGTACCCTTTGCATATACCTATATACTTGAACTACATAGGTTCGAAAACTTCTGCAACTCTCACACATAAGAATACATATTGGTTAGCTTGGGCGGTAAAATGAGCCCTGGATATAGTATAGAACTGGTCAGATACAACAGAGTGGGTAATCAATCCGGTCTCTGCAACCACCTAAGTTGGCTGGCAGAGTTGCCCCGAATATCCAGCAGCACCACAAAGAAACCTTAGGTCGGATTTTGCTGTATCCTTTTTTATGCATAAGTGATTTACTCAGATTCTATTTTCCTTCATAGCTTAATAAATTCGATGTGTGAGTTCTAGTTCAATTCTTATTTCCCGAAGACCAGAACAAAATGAAAATGCACAAATAACCTGAGTTGTTCAGCTTGAATTTAGTGGTAATTAGCTTAGTCATAGCAGCAAGAGTATACTTAAGGTAAACATGTAATTAAATCAATCGAGACTAATTTCGAGCCACCCCTTAACCAATCAGAAGACAGCCTTTCTGAATAGATAATTAGTTGAACAAGATGTTACATAATCACTTCCTCTACAAATTACACTGAATATATATTAAAAACCCAACAACATATAAATTTAGACCAATGCCTACATCTATAAAGATGCAGATTTCCCGTATCCTCGGACCTATATAAGCATGAAAATAGATTGCTAAGAGTCCTTTTTCTTTTTATAGTTAGGGTTACCAATTCATGGTAAAGGTTAAGTATTTTGGGTCACGACTTCTATGAACTGACATCGAATATAGTGTGCAATGATCTACAACCATATAGATGGATGGATTTTGCTCAAAAATCCAAAAGGTATTATCTGATTAACTCATCTACAAAATATAACCTCAAGGAATTTAGATTTGTTTCAGGATAATGAATTTGAAGTTATGATTTGGTAACAGTATTAAATACAATCTACAATCAGTTAGATACAATATATAGGGACAAAACTAAGCATATGATATGTTTAACACCATCAATTTTACTTCATGATGTCATAAAGTAATTCTTATTATCATTTTAAATGTACTTCAAGTATTACATAATGATGTTTTCCTGGGTTTTGAATTTCGCTCAATAGCCTAGAAGTTATGTTTTCGATTCTGATTGGCTTATCCCTATGCAATACCTCTACCATCGTAAGTTAGGGAGGCTTCAGTTCATTAATCAATTAGCACAATTAGTCAGTTAAAATAGATTTAAAATAAAAGACTGTTTTGCGATAGTCTCAAAATTTAAAAATAGACAGCCAAGAAGTTTAAATATATGGCTTTATTATCAAGAATTCACAACATTATACCTGATAAAGACATTTATGGTTCCATACACTGTAAATATTATAGTTTAGTGTTTCTTTGACTTTAATTCACTGAGGTTTATTTATTCTTTTTTTTGAATTTTTTCTAATTAGGTACACATCAGAAACATTCTAGATCTTGGACAAACGAAAGTGAATCGGCCGTAAACGAACAAAGCGAACGTCAAGGTTTGTACAATCTCTGAAAAAAACATTTATGAACCTTATCCTTCAAAATATTCTCACTTTCATAATTATGTTTTAGACTATCAGTAGTGATCTATAATGGATGGAAAAGATGTGTTTAGTTAGTTTGTTGTAAATAAACTTTAATGAGACAAAAGAAAATATCTGATTGTTTCACATTTCTATTAAACTGTCACAAGACTCAAATATGGTCACTTTAAAGTTACTGAACAACTAGTCTTTTTAGTTCACTTGGTGTTGTTTCACTTGTATCTTCCCGTTGTTATTTAAGACTAATTGATCAGTCTCATGTTTGCATATGTGCATCCTGTGCGGATTACCTCGATATAGTCTTCTTAGTGTAGAATATTTACACATTATTACAATTGCTGAACTGTAACAGGGTGTTAGGAATATCACTTCATTAATAATAACAATATGTCCAGTTAAGATTCTTTGTATAACTCCTCTATTCATATATATTAGTACTTAGCTTCAACGAAGATGTAAACTTTTTTCAAATAAATTAATTGTGGCTAATATTGAAATTAAAAACACGAAGTTCATCGAAGGGATCTCTTCTCAACGAATTCATTATCAAACTGCACAATCGTATATAAATATGAAATATTCATTGTTAAAGTACTAGTTCCATGAGGAAATGTGAACAAGGAATAACCAAGATTTTGTAATAGAAAGATTACAATACTAGATTACGTAATACGAATAATAATCGACTTAATAAGTTAATAACGAATTATAAAGTGAATGTAGAAGGTGATGAAAATGTTTGTGTTACAATAATTAAAGGTCATTAAAGGACATAGAGATGTAAAGAAAAATAAGTAAAGTGATATCATGAGCCCACATATCACAACTATTATAAAATTATATTACAGCAGTTTACCATAATTAGTTTACAACTCCGATATTTTCACAATTATGATCATGAGCCAATCTAAGTTAGACCACAAGTGAAAACATACATAAACTGGATGGACATTTTATCGTAGTATGAGACTTGTCAGTAGTGCGCACCCACGATCCCTCACGTATGACTTAAACTCAGGGCCTTCGATATCGCACACAGCGTTGTTCGTGTTTAACTTAAATCAATCCATGATCTTCCGCAACGATTCATTGATTGCTTCAGGTGGATATTTGTCTCATATTTGACACAGATTAGGCTCACCTAGTCACGACTTCTCACTAGAACTCCATGAGTTACATCTTAAAGCTAGTCACAAATGCACATATGATTGTGAGAGTTTTTTTAAATAGAAAACTCTGCATTATTTAGATTGAGTTTAATGAATAATTAGGAAAACATTGACAAGAAAATCAATGCACTGATTGGAACAAAGTGACGTTTTTCAAGATATTGTTTTCACTAAAAAATACAAACAAGAAATGAATTGTTCAGTTACTCTCCATCTAATTGGGTAGTTGATTGGTGGTCTGTATCATACATTTGCTAGTAGAAAATGCTGATGAAGACACTCGTGGAGAAAATACAGTTGTTCTCGAGTGAAATCCTGCCTTTTGGCGAAATTCACCTATTTTTGAATAATGAGAAGCGCACTACTCTCATATGATTCTGAGTTAGTGGAGAAGATTTGTAACTCAAGTGGATGATTTTAATGGAGTTTTGTTCTCTGAGTTGAATGGTTTAGTCGTAGAGCTTTCATCGTTCTTCTGAACGACATCATCAGCATAAACTTCGGTTAGAAGAACGATGAAAACTCCACGACTAAATCATCCTGCTCAGAGAACAAAACTCCATTAAAAGAAATGGGTTGAGATATAAACCAATAGTTGAATTCAGTGCATTCATTGTAAAGTGATCTTCGAAATCCCCATAAAATGCATTCTTGCCAAATTATCTTTTATCTATTTTTTCTTATGCTCTTTACCTTTAGGCTGATATTATTATTGTTATTACATTTATGTGCATATATCTATGCATATGTATATGCTCCCCTTCATATGAATATATTGATTGATAGACAAATCAGTATTCACGCACAAAGATAGACATGTAATAACAACCAATCATAATTCAACTCTCTCTCTCTCTCTCTCTCTCTATATATATATATATATATAAATGTATCAGAATGCTTCAACTCAATCAATCAATCAGTAGTATCCAACCTGATCATCTCAAATTACAGATTAATTCTATTTTAATTCATTAAAGAGAATAAGCAAATTTTGGACGAAAAAAAAATAAAAGATTATCCTTGATAATATTTTATTCTCTTATATGAAAATATAAGTTTTGTTTGTGTAAAATGTATTTTATTGTTTTTGTTGTTGTTGTTGTTACTAACTGAATTATTGATTATAATTTTCCTATGTTTGTTTTATATATAATTATAATTAGTCATTTGTTTCAAATCATTTATTATTCTAATTATGTTATGAAATTCTTAAACTTTTCATTTTCATTTCTGTTGTGTGTTTTTTGTTGTTGTTGATTTCTTTTTTTTCTTTCCTTTTTTCGTTTCTTTTTTTTCCTTTTCTTTTCTTTTTTTTCTTTCGGTAGAATTTAATCACTATGTGTGATTTGAGAATATATATTTATTAAAAAATACCAATAAATGTCATAAATTAATTAACATATACTTTCTAGTATATCAGTTTAATATTATATTAATAAATCAGTAAGGAATATTCAATAGAGAATGTCAAATATGAATACGAAAGTAGATCGTTTTTGTTTTTAAAATCTTGAAATAATAATTGTGATGGTTTTTATTCAATATAATCCTTCATATTGATAATGGTTACTAAATAACGCCTCAATGGTGTATTAATCAGAAGGTAAATACAAAGTATTAATTTCGTATACAATTCATCTTGATAATAGTTAATAGATAACGTTTCAATGGTGAATACGAAGTGTTCATTACGTTTTTATTATTGTACCATACACAGATATCCTAATCTACATGAAAGTGTAGTGCCGAAAAGCTAACAGGCAAACGAGTGAGTATGCAAGTTGAATGAGCAAGTATGATAGCGAGTCAGTAAGACAATGAAAATGATTAAAATGTGGCTAGCAGAATGAATATATGCTTAGGCGGTAAGCAATGCTCAAGCATGCATATCCACAGAAGTGTAACAATAATAAAGGCACAATGATATAGAGAAGGTGTTATTGTACTGATGACTCCGTCCGCTAAATTGGTTAACAAAAGGGTTTAACCAAACTAAATGTGAACAAACTCAATTGCATATGAGCTGCTATACAGTAATTAGATAATTAAACTAGAAACATTCTAGAATCTGAATAAATCTCTGCAAACCAATAATAATAATAATAATAATAATAATGACATTAATAATAATAATCATGTTCTCACAAGTGACTAACCTCGTGATGTAACTCTTGAAGTTCTAGTGAAAAGCCATGACCAACACAGTTCAGCCATCTCAGATGTGAAACACAAAATAGGTGATAATTGCTTAAGTTCGTAAATTGATTGAATTCAGATAGTGACACTGTTAAATGCCAACTCAGTAGTTTGGAGGTCAAGAGTTCATGAGTGAAACCGAAGGTCCTTGCTTTGCTTTCTGGATGAGAGTGGTGAATGTGTACTTGTGAGTAGTTCGATACGAGGACGAAACTATTATCCAGTACCTCCATGTTATCAATGGTAGTCTAACTAAGAACATTTCGTGTTTTAAACTATGAATATTAGAGAACTAATGAAAACTAGAAATCTCATGATTTGACGGAAAATTGAGCTCAAGACGTTAGCATTTTGTTGTAATCATAATACTATACCAAATTTAGTTAATGAATAAAAGTGCACGGTTTAAGTCAAACCAATATCTCCAAGTTAATCCACAATTATCGATTGTAATCAGACATTAAAATTCTCGTAAATACCAACTAAATTAGATCACTAAATTATATAGTCTATTAATGAATAATCTACATTACGCTAATCAAACCAACGAACTACTTTTGATTCGACCGGTGTCACAAGTAACTTCCATCAGCAATTTGAGATCTTAACACTGATTCGTCCACTGAACTTATATCCTTAATGATCAATTGGAACGATAAAACAGCCAACAAACTTATTTCTTATTATCTAAAGACTATTATTTTAACTAAAAATACACTATTCTATGCATCAGTTACACGATCTCAACGCACCACAAATAGAAGGTTAAAATTTATGCAATAATTAATCCATTTATGCTACAAAACTGAACGATAATTGTATAATTTAATAGTTAAATTCATGAGTCAATTGAAGTTAGACCACCATGGAAAACCTGGAAGTACTGGACGGCCGTTCCATCCTAGTATGTGACTCGTCAGCAATGAACATCCACGATCCTGCCTCGCGAGATCCTAAGCCAGGATCTATCAGTCTCGTGTGCGAACTCTGAACCTCTAGACTACTGATTCGACCGTCATCCAATAGTTTTAATGTCTAACTTTAACCAATACACAAAATTGCTCCACCGTTCACCATTGTCTTCAATGAGTTACTATCTCACAACAGACCTGGTTGATGCGCAATGCTGTGAAATCTCATACGAGGATGAAGTGGTCATCCAGTGCTTCTAGGTTTCCTATGATGGTCTAGCTTTAATACTCTTTAAATAACATCTCCAAACCCTAATCTTCCTGATTACTGCTTATACTCTTACTACCTCTACCACTACGGGATTTGAATCGACAACTGAATCTCTGTGCTAATGTGGCGTGGCAACTCGAACTGATGTACGTACGTACGAAGTTCTACGTTGTTACTGACTGACTGACTCGTGAATTCAATGATTAAACTACTACAATCTCTACAAAACCCCTTTCTAATGATAGTTGTATAATTAATTAACAGTAACTTATCAATCAATAGATTCAATGAAAGCTTATAAATAGGATAATATGAGAATATCATACACTAAGTATTTCATAGTTATACCCAAAAAACGGGGGGGATTATAGATACATATAATTCATTGTTTAATATTTCACCTATTTCAATTATACGCCCATATTTCAGATATTCATTTTAATAAATCACCAATGCAATGAATAGAATTTACAAAATACTGTAAATAATCACTAATGGATAGAAAAATAGTAATTTTCCATATACAATAAATATTAATGGTTATAAAATATTACAAATATCAACTACAGAAACAATCTGTTTTGTATTTTCATTAGTTGATCAACTAAAATATTCACATATTTAACAGTAAACTATTGAGTTAAGTTCAACTATCACCATGAAGGTACATTTCCGATTCGACGTTCCATGAAACCTAGTTCCCACTTCCTATTACCTTGATACGATCTGACAAGTACCCTTTCACCCACCCGGAAGCTACGAGTGACCGTACGATATTCATTCGTGGGTTTAGTTGTCTTTCTGGGAGGCAACATACTGTTAAAGACTGTCCGGATTTTCCTTCCGAACATACACTCGGCCGGCGACTTTCCTTCTGGTACTGCCGGATTGGGGGTAACTCTGTAAGACATTAAGAACTTACTGATCACTTGTTCCAGGATACCCTTAGGCAAGATACTCAACATTCATTGGCCGGATACCATCAGTAACAGCCTTCTCTAGGACAGAACAAACTAGCTTCCGTCTGAAGAGGAAATTAGAAAAAGACGATGGAAATGGATAAAACATACGTTATGCAAATCTACAAACTGTATCATGAGGCAATCCTTAACTTGGAATCCTGAAGGGAAGTGGAAAAGAGGAGGGCCAAACAATACGTTACGTCGGGAAATAGAATCAGATATGAAAAGGATGAATAACAACTGCAAAGATCTGGAAAGGATTACCCAGGACAGGGTTAGGTGAAAAGTGCTGGTGGGTGGTCTATGCTCCTCCACGAGGAGTAACAGATGTAAGTCACAGTAACATTGAATTAAGATATATTTACAGTAATAGCAAAAAGATTTTAATTCCTCATTGTTTATATTCTGAACTTCTGTGGTGCATGCTACTTATGCTAACAGATATAAGTAGTATGCAGTGGTAATCGGAAGTAAGATAGATGAAAGTCGCATATTGAAATGAAGAGAATAGAAAAGAAATCAAAGAGCAATCAAAATTATGATAGAATTAAAGGAATAATGAAGTATGTAGATGATAATTCAAAGAAGATATGCGAATGATATGTTTAATATATGATTTTTATATTTAACCTAAGATATTGGATACAAGTTTCAACATGAATATCAGTAATAAGATATGATAGGCATATTCAACTGATTAATCCGTAACAGAATAAAATTTTTTTGATTGAGATCATAAATCGATTGATGTCAAACCACCTTTGGAAACCTCGAAGCACTGGGCGGTCGTTTCGTCCTATTGTGGGACTTCTCAGCAGTGCGCATCCACGATCCCGCTCACGGGATTCAAACCCAGGGCCTTCGGTCTCGCGTGCGAACGCCTAAACTACTGGATCACTGAGCTGGCATCCAATGGTGATAGGGTCTAACATCAACCAATCCACGAAATTGCGCGACCATCTTCCATTGTACTGAGGTAGATACCTGACTCTACCCGATATGGATTAGCTCCACTGGTCACAGCTTCTCACTAGAACTCCGAGAATTCCCTCGTGAGGGAATAATCTCCACAACCCCTATACTAGAATAAAATGTTCCTGACAGATTACACCATCAAATCTATTTAAACCTCTCTATCAAGTGACATCAATTTTTCATAAGAAAGTGTTTCTACCCCTTACTCCCACCACTCATTCGATACTGATAATTATCCAGTGGCAAATATCTTAATAAAAAATAATTTAGAAGAAATTTTAATCTATTAACGATGAGGTCATTTCATATTACATTTTATGCGAGATAAAAAGTAAGTCTTTATTTCTTTGACCTTATTCTGAAAGAATCCACGAAATAATCTTTTGTTGATTAAGATTAATTGAAATAGAAACATAAAATTTAAATTGGATACATTATTTAAAC